AAAAAAAAAAAAAAAAAAAAAAAAAGTGCTCTGGGACTAAATGGGGTGGTGGTTGTACCGACTAAGTACACTAAATGCCACTGAATTATTCACTTTAAAATACTTGATTTGGCTGGGTGCGGTGGCTCAATCCTGTAATCCCAGCACTTTGTTTTGGTTTTTTTTGGTTTTTTTGAGTTGGATTCTCACTCAGTCGCCCAGACTGGAGTGCAGTGCCGCTCCCGCACACCGCAGCCTCGACCTGCTGGGCTCCGGTGATCCTTCCACCTCAGCCTTCCAAGTTGCTGGAACTACAGGTGTGCACTACCACGCCCAGCTAATTTTTGATTTATTGTAGAGATGAGGTCTCCCCAAGTTACCTAGGCGGGTCTCGAACCCGCGGGCTCAGGCAATCCACTCACCTCAGCTTCCCAAAGGCACGGGATTACAGGCTGAGCCACCGAGCCTGGCTAATCCCAGCACTTTGGGAGTCCAAGACGAGAGAATTGTCTGAGCTCCGGGGTTCGAGACCAGCCAGGGAATCTTGGTGAGACCTCATCTCTACGATAAATCAAAAAATAAGCCTGGCATGGTAGCATGAGCCTGTGTTTCCAGCTCCTTGGAAGGCTGAGGTGGAAGGATCGTCTGAGCCCAGCAGGTTGAGGCTGTGGTGGCTGGGAACATGCCACTGCCCTTCCAGCCTGGGTGACAGAGTGAGACGCCAATTAAAAAAAAAAGCGTCGGGCTCGGCGGCTCAGCCTGTAATCCCGCGCCTTTGGGAGGCTGAGGTGAGTGGATTGCCTGAGCCCGCGGGTTCGAGACCCACCTAGGTAACTTGGGGAGACCTCATCTCTACAATAAATCAAAAAATCAGCCGGGCATGGTAGCGCATGCCTGTAATTCTGGCTACTCGGAAGGCTGAGGCGGAAGGATCACTGGAGCCCAGCAGGTTGAGGCTGCAGTGACCGGGAGCGGCCACTGCACTCCAGTCTGGGCGACAGAGTGAGACTCCAACTCAAAAAAAAAAAAAAAATGCTTATGTGAAAAAAGGTGGCCAACAGGATTTGTTGAAAACTCCAATAATAATGAAGTGAAAGGGTAAACTGAGATAAGGCAGGCCATTGCTGCCAGAATAAGACAAGGTTGCAACAGAGGAAAGTAGAAGGAAATAAAGTTTACTATTTACCTTTAACAGATGGAAAGGTGGCTAGCACTCAAGCAAGTGTGGCTTAGAAGGCTGGAAACAAGGTGTATTTAAGGGCCTTTGAAGCAAGCGGGGGGACAAGCCTGGAGGAGGTCTGGGCCAAATGGAATGTCCAGGGTTGTATTCTTTGGTTTTCATAGTAGTCACATGAATCTAATATCTTGACATCGCCAGGCATTAACATCTGGTGACCTCAGGTGGTGGACTGGAGATTATCATGACCTTTTGATAACAATATACCAATAAACATGGCCCCCCAGTGGTGTGCTGAAGGTCTTCACCAAGGGCGACCAATAACAGTATCAATATGAATGCCAAAAAGATAGTTAGCAAGACTGGACATCCATAAGGGGTTCTGTGTGATCACGGGTTTCTAAAACTAAAGCGTTTTTCAGTCAGGCACAGTGGCTCAAGCCTGTCATCCCAGCACATTGGGAGGCCGAGGTGAGAGGATTGCCTGAGCCCAGGAGTTCGAGATCCACCTAGGCAACATGGCAAGACCTCATCTCTACAATAAGTCAAAAAATCAGCCGAATGTGGTGGTGCATGCCTGTGGTTCCAGCTCTTTGGAAGGCTGAGGCGGAAGGATCGCCCGAGCCCAGCAGGTCAAGGCTGCGGTGGCTGTGAGTGTGCCACTGCACTCCAGCCTGGGCGTCAGAGTGAGACTAAAGAAAGTGGAAACAGGCCAGATGTGGTGGCTCAAGTTTGTCATCCCAGCACTTTGGGAGGCTGAGGTGAGAGGACTGCCTGAGCCCAGGAGTTCGAGACCAGCCTGGGCAACTTGGGGAGACCTTGTCTCTACAATAAATCAAAAAATTAACTGGGCTCTCTCCCTCTCTTGTTTTCTCTCACACTCTCTCTCTCTCCCCCTCTCTTCTGTCCCCACCACTCTCTTACTCTCTTTCTCTCTCGGTCTCTCTTTTTCTCTCTCTCTCTTGTCACTCCTCGGTTACAGTCCCTTCGTGTAACTGCCCCTTAAATAAATCTCTTGGTTCAGAAAAAAAAAAAAAAATTAACTGGGCATGGTGGCGCACACCAATGGTTCCAGCTACTAGGAAGGCTGAGGCAGAAGAATCGCCTGGGCCTAGTAGGTCGAGGCTGCAGTGGCCGTGAGCAGGCCCCTACCCTCCAGCCTGGGTAATGGAGTGAGACTCCAACTCAAAAAGAAAAAACTAAAGCATTTTTCTTGTTATTGGTTACAGGGTAAAAAGATATGTGGGCCATGCTGCAAACTGTGCAGCAACGAAATGTCTAGGGGTGAGGCCCCAGTAAAATGGCTGTGCTGACTCAAAATGGCTACATTATATCCGAAATCTTAAGGGTTCTGTCCTTTCATGAAGTCAGTGGGTGTGTGGAGGACAGTGTTGGTGTAAGTGGAAGCTGGGATGACAGCCCGCTGGTTTTCTTTTAATTCTTATTTATTTCATTTTGAGTCAGAGTTTCACTCTGCCACTCAGGCTGGCGTGCAGTGGCACAATCACAGCTCACCACAGCCTTGACCTCCTGAGTTCAGGCAACCCTCCCACCTCAGCCTCCCAAGTGACAGGGACTTACAGGCTTGCACCCCCCCCAACCCCGGGCTACCCTAAAAATTTTTTTGTGGCCGGGCCCGGTGGCTCAGTCTGTAATCCCATCAACTTTGGGAGGCCTAGGCGAGAGGCTTGCCTGAGCCCGTGCGTTTCAGACCCACCTGGGGAACTTGGCAAGACCTTGCCTCTATAATAAACCAAAAATTAGCTGGGCATGGTAGCGCACACCTGTAGTTCCAGCTACTTGGAAGGCTGAGGAGAAAGAACAGCCGGAGCCCAGCAGGTTGAGGTTGCAGTGGCCAGGAGCATGCCACTGCCTTTCAGTCTGGGTGACAGAGTGAGACTCCAACTCAAAAAAGAAATTTTTCTTGTAAGGCCACGTGTGGTGCCTCACACCTGTAATCCCAGCACTTTGAAAGGCAAGGGCGAGAGGATTGCCTGAGTTCAGGGGTTCAAGACCAGCCTGGGCAACTTGGCGAGACCTTCTCTCTACAATAATTTTAAAAATTGGCCAGGCGTGGTGGTGCGCACCTGTAGTTCTAACCACTTGGAGGGCTGAGGCGGAAGGATTATCTGAGCCTAGGAGGTTGAGACTGCGGTGGCCATGAGTATGCCACTGCACTCCCACCAGGGCGACAGAGTAAGACTCCAACTAAAAAACAAAAAAATTTTTTTGTAGAGACAAGATCTTGCAGTGTTGCCCAGGCTGGTTTCGAATCCCTGGACTCAAGCAGTCCTCCTGCCTTGGTCTCCCAAAGTGCTGGCATTATAGACGTGAGCCATTGCACCTGGCCTAGGATATCCCTATGGATGACATGGAGGGACCAGCATTGAGACAGGAGTGCTGACTGGCTGTCTCCTCCCATCTCTCCCCTCAATTCCTCCCTGAAGCTGAAGTGTGAAGCGCGGCTCTCACGCATGAGGCAGGATGGCGTCTTCTGCTCCCCTGGACTTTGACTTGCTGAACCTCTTGGAGCAGCTCAACCAGGATGAGCTGAGCACGTTCAAGGCCCTGGTGAGGACGCTGGCCCTGCAGAATGAGCTCCAGCAGGTCTCCCCGGTGGAGCTGGACCAGGCTGGTGGGAAGCAGCTGGCAGAAATTCTCACCACGCGCTGCCCCCGCGACTGGGTGGAGGTGGTGGCCATCCAGGTTTTTGTCAAGATGAATCGAGCAGAGCTGTCTGAGAGAGTGAAGGATCAGCTCAGAGGTGAGAAGCCAGCCATGCAGTGTCCTGGGGGAAGGAGGGGCATGTCTAGGAAGTTAGAGCTTTCTCAGGTCAGAGGGCATCTGTCTGGGCTTCTGTTTGGTGGTGGTGGTAGTGGTGGTGGCATCTCACTCTATCACCAGGCTGGAGCGCAGTGGCACAATCATGGTTCACTGCAGCCTTGGCCTTCTGGGCTCAGGAGATCCTCGCATCCCAGCCTCCCAAGTAGCTGGGACTACGAGCATGTATCCCCACGCCCAGCTAATTTTTTTTTTTACTTTTTGTAGAGACAGAATCTTGCTATGTTGCCCAGGCTGGGGGTTCCCTGTCCTTAAAGGACAGGTAAGGGTTTTGTGGCACTCTGTTTTTTTTTTTGAGTCAGAATCTCACTGTTTCACCCAGGCTAGAGTGCAGTGCCATGCTTGCTCATAGCCACTGCAGCCTCGGCCTGCTGGGTTCAGGCGATCCTTCTGACTAAGCCTCCCAAGTAGCTGGAACTACAGGAGCACACCACCACACGCGGCTAACTTTTTTATTTATTGTGGAGACAAGATCTCACCATGTTGCCCAGGCTGGTCTTGAGCTGTGAACTCAGGCAATCCTCTCGCCTTGGCCTCCCAAAGTGCTGGGATGACAAGTGTGAGCCACTGTACCCAGCAGGTGAGAGTTGTTTTTTTTTAAAGTCATTGTCTCACTCTGTCTCCCAGGCTAGAGTGCAGTGGCATGCTCACAGCCACTGCAGCCTCGACCTGCTAGGTTCAGGTGATCCTTCCACCTCAGCCTTCCAAGTAAGTAGCTGGAATCACAGGTGCGCACTACCACGCCCAGCTAAATTTTTGGCTTATTGTAAAGACAAGGTCTTACCAAGATGTCCAGGCTGGTTTCCGAATCCCTGGACTCAGGCAGTCCTCCCACCTCAGACTCCCAAAGTGCTGGGATGACAGGCTCGAGCCACCGTGCCCCACCAGTGAGAGTTATAAACTCCCACCTGGCCTCTGGAGATTACAAATTGGAAAATAGGAGGAGGAGACCCAGAGCTGACCTCTCACCAGGTCTCAGCTCACAAATCTCTCCCCCTTCTCCTATTTTCAGAAAGAGCTTTGAAATCACTTCAAGCCAACAAGCCTCCATCATCCGGTGAGTGACTTCACTTACAATTTCTATTCTTCGTGTGAGACTGTGGGATTCTGGGATTCGTTTATAAAAGACAGGATGCCGAGCACAAAGAATGCAGAGAAACACAACCTCATCCCTGTCCAGGGTGCTTGGCACGCAGGTGGGAGGCAGCAAGACCCTGGAAGCTAACAGGGCAGTATCTGCACCAGAAACCAGGACATGCACCTGCAGTGGGAGAGAGGATGAGCTTCCCTTTCCTTTTTTCTTTTTTTTTTTTTTTTTTTTGCATCAGAGTCTCACTCTGTCACCCAGGCTGGAGTGCAATAGCACGCTCACAGCCACCCCAGTGTCGACGTGCTGGGCTCCAGCGATACTTCCACCTCAACCTTCCAAGTAGCTGGAACTGCAGGCGTGCACCACCACGCCTGGCTAATTTTTTTATTTAATGTAGAGACGAGGTCTCACCAAGTTGCCCAGACTGGTCTCGAACCTGTGGGCTCAAACCCACTCACCTCAGCCTCCCAAAGTGCTGGGACAACAGGCTGAGCCGCTGAGGCTGGCTGAGATTCCCTTTTATTACAGTTTATTTTTGGCCAAGCATGGTGTCTCACGCCTGTCATCCCAACACTTTGGGTGGCCGAAGCGAGAGGATTGCCTGAGTCCAGGGGTCTTGACCAGCCTGGGCCTCGTCTCTATGATAAATCAAAAAATTAGCCAGGCATGGTGGTGTGTGCCTGTAGTTCCAGCTACTTGGAAGGCTGAGGCGGAAGGATCACCTGAGCCTACCTAGCAAATTGAGGCTGTAGTGGCCATGAGCATGCCACTGCACTCCAGCCTGGGCTACAGTGAGACTCTGACTCAAAAAAAAATGTTTTCACGTCTGTCATCTCAGCACTTTGGAAAGTGGAGGCAAGAGGATTGCCTGAGTCCAGGGATTCGAGACCAGCCTGGGAAACTTGGCATGAGCTCGTCTCTACAGTAAACCACAAAATCAGCCAGGGTAGTGACGCACTTGTGGTTCCAGCTACTTAGAAGGCTGAGGCAGAAGGACTACCTGAGCCTACCTCGCAGTTTGAGGCTGCAGTGGTGGTGGGCATGCCATTGCACTTCAGCCTGGGCAACAGAGTAGGACTCCAACTTAAAATATATATATATATTTTTTTTTCCCCAAGGGCACAGATTCGAGTTGCCCTTGAATCCGTGCTCCCCTGGCCCTTTCCTTTTGATGTAAACAAAGTAGAGGGCTGGAGATTTTTTTTATTTGTTTTGAGTCGGAGTCTCATACTGTCACAGCCTCGACCTGCTGGGCTCAGGCAATCCTTCTACCTCAGCTTTCCAAGTAGCTGTAACTAGCCGGGATCGGTGGCTTAGCCTGTAATCCCCTGCCTTTGGGAGGCTGAGGTGAGTGGATTGCCTGAGCCCGCAGGTTC